GTGGGGGGGGGTTAGTGCAGAACTAGGCTGACGGTAAAAGTAAGAGGTAAAAGAAAAACAATGTCTTTATCCGCTACTACTGTTACGGCTTTCTCAACACTCACCTCGCCATTCTCCAGAGGGTTGAGGGCCGAGTAGCGCGACGTGCAGATGACCTGGTCATCCCGGAGGAAGGTGGGCACGCCTCGGGTGGCCTCGATGCCGTAGAACATGCGGCATTCCTTGTCCGTCATGGCGAAGTACTGCCAAGGGAAGTAAGTCTCTCCGTCCAGCGAGCGTTCAAGTATCCAGTTTCCGGGCCTGGGCGAGTTGGCCGCTTTGATGATGATGTAAGCGATCTGGTAGATCTGTAAAGTAAAGTAGATATAATATGAGCAGAGGAAGATAGGACTAATGCTAATACTTTTTTAAGACCTCAACTAACAAAGCATGTCTTCTTTATCATTTACATAAACACCATCCCACATCATCATTTATCACCACACCACCATCATTTCTAAAATCATAAGTGTCTCAGATCCTTGACATACATATATAATTGGTCGCTTTTAAGGACAAGGAGGCTATCCCGAAAAATGCTGTTTTGAGAAAATCGAAGGCAAAGTTTTTGCCTCATTGTTCAGACTTGACGAGTCTTCTCTATAACCAAAAAAATATACACACCAATTAAACCAAACTTCTCCTATAGGAAGGGAAATGCCCACTTTTGGTGTAGGTCAAGATTTCTGGAAACCCCCGAAATCTGGGTTAGCCCGCTTGTCCTTAAAAGAGACCAACTATCTTGAACACCTATCTATTACAGTTACATGTAACAACAATTATGTACGTAATACACTATTGAACACTATCATATGCACATTTTTCTACTAATCAGATGGCGTTAATATTATAGAAATGGGCTAAGAACAACAACAACAAAATAATCCGGGTTTAACGCCGCTATCAACATATTTAGGTTATTGAAGAAGACGACGAAGAAGAAGAAAGAAGAAGAAGAAGAAGAAGAAGAAGAAGAAGAAGAAGAA